ACCCGTTGTGCTTACAATTATTTGTATGTGTGTATTGTGATTTTTTAAAAATTTCTTTCGTTTTTTTTTTTTGCACACAAAAAAAGGAACATAACAAATTTAGCATATCTTCAATCAATTATTTTATGTTTGTTTTTATTTAAAATTTAAAGATAATATATGGGCAAAATTTTTAACTAAATTCAGGAAAAATTTATTCCTAAAGACATTTTTTTACTTCTATATAAATCCTTAAAAAAATTAACCTGAAAAAGTAGTCAATATAATATTATACATTAAGTAAAAAAAATGTGGTTAACAATTATGCTTACATAAATTTACTATAGTTTTAATTTCAATTTTTTTATATAAAAAAATTATTTTGTTGCAAATGTGTTTAAAAGCATTTTATTTAGCTAGTACCAAATAGAATTTTTTTAGCTAAAAGGAAAGTTATAAAATTTTGTTGGAAATTTTCAAATGTCTATTGTTAAACATTATATTCTACTTGCTTGCTTGTTTGCTTACTCTTGCTTTGGGAGCTTTGATTTTTGATCTTTGCTCCACATTCATTGTATTGTTTTATTTATTTTTCTTCTTCTTGTTTGATTCTCGCATGATACTTCTTTCATAATGCATCTCTGAATGTATTAGTGGAAACATCATACACTTAAAATGCACAAAATTATAATATATAAAAAAGATGTAAGTAATTGCCAAAAACTAAAACTACTTTAAGAAAAAATAAAAAACAAAAAACAAAAATGAAATTGTTTGAAATAGAAATTTATTTATTTATTTGTTTAGTTATTAATTTTTAAAAATAAACTTTTAAAGAAAACAAAGAAAAACTATATTAAAAAAATACAAAAACCAAACATAAAATATAATATAAAAAAGAAATGAATTATAGGATTTTCAAGAGGTGAGACTCATAAACAAATTTTTGTAAAATTTTGTCTATTCATACACTTTTTGTATATGTTTTTTGTACTTATAATCCTGAAAATGATATTGAAATAGTCTGTACCTCTTGTATTAAGTTCATCTAATAATTTTAGCCAACACAGATATAATAAGTCTCATAATACAACACACAAACAATTATGAGACAAAGTATCTAAAAAAAATGAACGCAACATTCAATGATAATGTAGAAGAACACCTGACGTTTTAATTTGAGATAGAACTAGATAAATCACCATAGAAGAGGAAGACAACTTTTATTTTTCATCACAATAATTATATAACTCAATATATCATTTTAATATCTCTTACCCTACCACATGTCCAATTCTCTATCAATATTAAAATGAATGCATAAACCAAAAAAAAAAAACATTTGAGAAGACAAAGAAAAGTAGTTTGAGATCTTTCAATTGCTGAATTCTATTAATTAATAGTTATTAGGCTTCAATGGTCGGATTTCTAATATTTTTTAGTCATTAAAGTTGAATTATTTGGTTTCATCTATATTCATTTGGTAATTTGAGAGTGGACATGTGTCAATTCTTTACACAGACACTTGGCACATTTTTTAGCATTATTAATAAAATGCACAGTGTAATTTCTTTTCTTTTTTTTGCAATTGCAACATATTATTTTTTAATAAGAATTTATATTTGTTATAGATATTTTTTTAATATACAAATTATTATTTTTAGATTGTTTATAAAAATAATTTAATAATCCCATTACTAACCATAGTGTATGTGAGAAGTTGAAAAATGCGACAGTAGATATGGGAGAAGTCAAAAAGACTTGTGAGTTGAAAAAAGTTAATAAATGCTGAGATTTTTTTTCTTAAATCAAAAAATTTAAAAATTAAGATTGAATTATTAGAGCTCCTACAAGGCTTGCTGGTTAGAAACCCTATTTTCTTATATAATATATAGATATAGATTTGAGAGTGGACACGTATCAAGCCTTTACACAAACACTTGACACATTTTTTGAGCATTATTAATGAAATGCACAATGTAATTTTTTTCTCTTTTTTTCCTCAATTGCAACATGTTATTTTTTAATAAGAATTTATATTTATTTTAGATATTTTTTTAATATACAAATTATTTTATTTTAGATTTTTTATAAAAAATAATTTAATAATCTTATCACTAACCATAGTATATGATAAAAGTTGAAAATGGTGCAATAGTAACTAGGTTGGAAAAAAAGTCAATAAATATTGAGATTTTCTTTTAAAAATCAAAAAATTAAAAAATTAATATTAGGATGTTAGAACTCCCATAAACCCATAAAATTTAATTATGCTTAGTGACGATAATGGAGAAACACATAAACCCGTTTATGTAATTAAATATAATTGGAAGATGTTTAAACAAATCACACCACCTGTAAATAGCATGCCTGTATTTAATAATGGGCTATTCCAGTCTTTAAATAAAGGGTAATGTTAGATATATTAAATTTTCTATCAAATAAATGACTAAATGTCTTATATGGGTGTTGGATTTACAATTTTGTGGATCTAATTTGGTCATTTATTTAGTAAAAAATTTGGAGCCTATAACATTTTCTTTCACACCACCCCCATTATCTCTCTTATCTGTCCTTATGAAAAGATTACATTTTAATAATAAAAGTAAACCAGTTTTTTTTTTTTTGTTAACAGAACCCAATTTAAATCCAATTTAAATTTTTGAATTCAAATTTGTTCATCAAAAAAAACAAAAAATCATCTTTCAATTATGTTTTCTCATCATTAAACATAAATATTTCTAAATGTGTTTTGAAACATATATCTCATCACATAAATGTTTTTTGAAAAAAAAAGGTTTTTCAAAAAAACATCTTCCAATTATATTTTGATGTTTCGTCTCTTAATAACTAAGAAACTTCAAGTTTTTTATTTATTTAAATTTTGAATTCAACTTTGTAAATTAAAAAAAAATAAAAAAATTCCACCAGCCATAATAACGGATATCAAAAAAATTTCCACCAATTTTATGCACAAGGTATCAAAAAACTTCCACAAATTTTTTTTTAACAACAATAATCAAACCCAACACCAGCTAACAGACAAAGCAATTGCCAAAATAATAATAATAATAATAAACAGGAACCAATGTCACATGCCTTTTGCCCCCAAACCCGGCACCACCCAACCCATAATGCTCTTCAGCATAAAACACAAACCCATAAATCCCGGGCGTGCCCGGTTATAATAAGATTATAATCACGTGAGTAGGTACGACTCTGCATCTCTGACTTGTGTGTTTTAGATTAGATCAGATCTACAGCTAAGATTACATTAGATTAAGATCGGATCGGATCTAATGGTGAAGGTCAATGGCCATGCTCTTAATTGGAAATTAGGTAAATTACATTTTAATCCAAATGATAGATTACATTAAATTAGATAAATTACATTTTAGATCAGATATTATATACTCATTTATTATTGCAGAACATTTACAAATGATAATATTAAATTTAAAAAAAAATTATAAACTAAAAACAATTTAATTCCCAATGAAAGTCAAGTATCATATTAAAGAAATATGATACCTTTAATGAGTTAACATGGTGCACTGAAATGCTATGAACAGCAATTGAAAAAAAAAAATCAAAAAAAATAAAACCACCTTGAATGGAGTAATCATGATCATTAAATATTTCTTGAAAACAAAATTAATGGTAAAAAAAAAAATACAAATTCAACCCAATAAAAACAAAAAAAATAAAATAAAATAAAATCCACCACACCTAAGTATAGTATATCAAAAACATAAGAAAATGTAAAACAATAAAGCAAGGACCGCAACAACATCCATCCAGCAATGTAACCGAAAAGAGTGAATATCCTCTGTTCAAAAAAAAAAAAAAAAAAAAAACCAAAAATACCGCTATGTAAAAATAAAAAATAAAATTTAAAAAATTTAAAAGCTGAGAGTACCTTTTCTGGGAGCTGTTTGGCACAACTATATTTGTAAAAAATGCCTTCTTCTCTGCACTATTCTGCAAATCCACCCCTTCTTTAGTCCCACGAGTCTGTGAGCTTTGGATTTGATAAGCAAATGGAGAAAATGACCATGGAGATTTTAGGGTATTCCCAACTAAGTTATCAGAGAATCACTACAAGAATCTATACTTTTAGCAATCACTCTCCGAGGCCAATATAAAAGTTAGTCGCTAAAAGTTACATTTTGGCTATCAAATATGAGTTAGTCGCAAATGATCATTGTTTTTGGCGACCTAAATTAAAGTTAGTCGCAGAAAGTGGTATGGTTTTGGCGACCAACTACAAATTTGGTCGCGGAAGGTCACCTTTTAGAGACCAAAAATTAAGTTGGTTGCGGAAAATCAAAATAAGTTGGTTGTGGAATTGGCGACCAAAATTTTGGTCACCAAAAACTTATTTTCAACGACTAAAAATATTTTAGTCGCCATACATTGAGTTTTGGCTACTAAAACAATTTAGTCGCCGAATGGAAAATAAAAAATTATTTTTTATCTTTTGGCGACCCAAAAAAACTTATTTTCAGCGACTAAAAATATTTTAATCGCCGTATATTGAGTTTTGGCTACTAAAACTATTTAGTCGCCGAATGGAAAATAAAAAATTATTTTTTATCTTTGACGACCAAAACTTTGGTCGCCAAAAACTTATTTTCAATGACTAAAAATATTTTAGTCGCCATATATTGAGTTTTGGCTACTAAAACTATTTAGCTGCCGAATGGAAAATAAAAAATTATTTTTTATCTTTGGCAACCAAAATTTTGGTCGCCAAAAACCTTATTTTCAGCAACCAAAAAAAATTAGTCGTCGTATATTTATTTTTTCCGACCAAAAAAAAGTTAGTCGCCAAATTAATAATTTTGGTGACTAATATTTTAGTCGCCGTTAATTAAGCTTTGGCTACAACGAAATTTTAGTCACCAATTATTAACATTTGCCGACCAAAAAGTAATTTTGTCGCTAAAGGTGTGAAAATTTTAGAGGGAACCATTTAATATTGTCCTCGCCTGTTCTCTGTTTAAACAAATCAGATTGTTCTCTCACATAGATTCTCTATCACCCCCACCTCATTGCTGGTGCCTCTCTCTCTCTCTCTCTCTCCTAAACACCCACCGCACCAGCTCGGCCCATCCTCCTTCTCCTCCACTGGTGCCTCCACCGAATCCGAGAAGACTGTCGAGATCTGAATCAGATTTGAGTCCTTGTCTTGATTCCTGATCTCCCTCAACCTTGTCTCTACCACATCCCTCCAAACAAGCCAAACCCTAACTTAACTGCTCAATCTCGACCCTCGATTGGAGTCCTCTCATTCCCTCTCGAGCCCCAAATCGCCGTGATATCGACCAAACACGCTTGCATTGTCGGAGTTGCACTTGATTGCTACTTCAAACAGATCTCTCCGATGCCTAGTTGGTCCAAAAAATAGCTTAGAAAACATGAACCAGCTTAGATTACACAAAGTTGTAGGAATGGGCCAAGTGTTTTGGGTGTTTTTCAAAATTGTTTTCGAAAATCTTCATCTTCTTCCTCTTCATCATCAGCTAGGGTTTCCTAGTTTTCGAGCTCTTTGAAGATGTCAATGGCGTCACAAGAGCATCTGAACAAGATGCAGCTCCGTCAAAACTACCGTAACCTCTGGCACACTGATCTCATGGGTACCATTCAGGTCGAAACTTCATGTACTCTCTCTCTCTCTCTCTCTCTCTCTCTCTCACTTCTGTACTCTAATATGGTATTGATTTTGGTTTGTTTTCTTTGATGCAAATTGTTGTCTTGCATTTTGGTGGTGAGTACTCTGATGATTCATTTCTTAGATCTATTTTTTTGTTTTCAATTTCTCTTGTTTTGTCAGAGATCTGTAATTGCTTGTGGACTTACTGTTACTGTGGTTGACTTGATCTGTGCTTTGAAAATTGAATCTTGCTCTGTTTCTTATTATGTATTTCTTTTGATGGAATTGATGGAATTAAGCTAAAGTAGTCTTTTTTTTTCTTTTTCTTTTTTTCCCTTCTGATTTTTGGGTTTTACATACTTCCTTGTCTATACTTGGATAAAAATTGTATTGTTGAATTTGATTTTGTAGTGAAATACCCATTGATGAATAACTTCGGCAACTGAAGCCTTGCAAATGTGGTTATGAGGTTCGAGAGCTTGTTCTTTCCCAACTCCTTTGAGTAGGTCTTTGAGTGTTGGAAGTACCAACATATGAAGTATATAGTGCCATTGATTAAATAATATAATTGAGAGCTTTCTTCGGAGGCTTTTTCATTAGCAATTGTCCAGGGATATAATAAAGGATTTTGTTAATGTGTACCCTAAGAAGTGTAAAATGATTGTATATTATACATAAAAGTTCATGCAATATTGAATATATAATCTTTTAAAACCTTTTGACATATGCCTTTAGGCACCTGTTAACAAGACCCAATAATAAAATCAGCATTATGGTGAATTGTGTAAAACTATATATCTAAAACAGCATGAATGCAAACTAAGTTTAGCCTAAATGACTGTGCGGCCTGTGACAAGAATTTGTGGCAGAATAGAAGAATTTCTTTTCTGTCTGTTGGCAAATTCAGTGATCTATCCGTTAAATGATAGTCTAGTATGATGGTTTTATGAAAAATCAACCACTAAAATTAGTTTCTATTATAAGGCTTATAACAGGCCTTTATGTATTCAATTGTTTCAACATGAAAGTTGCATGAAATCAATTGTTGCTGGGGCCAGCAGAAGAAGCACTGACACTCCAAGATGGATGCTGTGTCCACGTCCAACATGGCAGGGACATGCTTATTCACTTGTCTATTTTTTTAATTATTATTTTTTGTTTTACACATTAGGGACACTTCGTGGACACACATCTTTTGTTCCATGGCCGTGCTTCTTGGCTGGCCAGCTATTGTTTTGCATTTACACAACCTCACAATTATTAGTGATGTCCTTAATGTTTGGTCAATGCTGCCGTATTTTATGGATATATTGCTTCATCTGTATCTGTCTTGATATTTGATTATTGTTGCCATATCTTTGTGGATTATTATTATTTTTTTTGACGGCACCATAGTTTGTGTCATTTTCCCTTTTCCTTTTTATTTTTTTTAAAATTAACATTCAGGGAATGTGAAAACTACTTGGAGCGAAAATGCTTGATGATTGACTGTAGTATCAAGGAGTTTCTATGACATAAACATATACAGATAACTATCTTGGATACTATTAATCTTATTCTCATTCTCTGTTAATGTGTTCCTAGGTATATCTGTATTGCATGGTCTGATTTTTAATAATAATGCTTTGCTTTTGTAATAACTAAAATGTTACTAATCATATATAAAAAAATTGAGTTCTGTTCACTGCTCATTCTATTATTGATTTATGGTTGAGAAAGTAGTCAATTTGGTGCATGAGTTGAGAAACTTTCCTTTGTCTCATATCTTGTTTGGGGTATGTCTTTTGCTACAGTTGAAGATGGAATTCATTGTTATACATTAGGTTTGGATTCACTTGGTGCTAAGCTGTAACTTGTTGTGATATTGCTGGAATTGCAGGTTTGGGATGTTTCAGTGTACCAATGGTGTCCTGTATTTTCAGTGATATACTACTATCTACAACACTAGGGCACAAATTACTAACCTTTAGTGTACCAATGGTGTCCTGTATTTTCAGTGATACACTGCTATCTATTCCCTCTGTCCCAAATTGTTTGTTTGGCACGGAATACAATAACTTAAAATAAAGTATTCTCGTACCGAAATTTCAAAAAAATGTACCCAATTAAAAGATCTTATCAAGTATTTTTAATTTGTGGAAAAAAATTGAAAATTTTGGCACAAAAATATTTTTAAATTCTTGTTTTTTGTGCCAGACAAACAATTTGTGATGGAGATAGTAGTATACTCAAAACATTTACTATAATGGCAGTAGACACAATATGTCTCAACACTATATGTGCTTTTCCTTTCCTGGATTTTTAGTCATATTTTCTGAATTCTGGTTGTGCAGTTCAGCTTACTGTCCTATATGGAAACCCTGCTAATATGGAAACCAATTAGTGAAGCTGCAATTTGATTGTGCTGACACATTATCTCTGTTGTAACCTCTGGTCAATGACAAGTTAGCATCTTGCTTGTTTATTCTACTACTTGATATCAAAATTTTGAATACTTATCTCAAATCAAGAAGCATAAATCCAAATAATTTTTTTTTAGGGGGGGAGGGGGGCAGCTATATTTATGCATCTTCTCTAGATTGCTAATGCAATATCTTCCATTGAAATCCGAAGCAATCAAGTTCTTTTTTCTTGGCCCCTACTCACTTCCATGTTTGTGGGTTAGTTGATTTGTGCAAGACATGGTCAAAACCATGTCAATTAACTTTTCTCTTTTTAAACAATTTGGCACTGCTTCTTTCTTCCTAGGACAATATTCATTTCTTGTTGGGTCCTTTTTCATAATACCACTCTTCCATCTCAACATTCTCGTGTTAGCTATACCTCTCACTTCTTACTTCCTAGGACAATATTCATTTCTGGTTTGGTGGCTGAGATGAATATGGAGAGGAGAAGGAGAATTTTAGTTTTTCTGTTTTTGAAGATTTTGATCCAAAGACCATTGCATGGTTTGTTTGATTGATAGTTTTATTTATTTTTTCTGGCAATGATTTTGAAATAGATTACGAGTATGAGGAAAATGCTCAAATTGTTTACTCAGCATTGGCTGCTGACAAGGAGGTGTTGTCACATGATGCTTTAAATCCGACCAACTTTCCTCGATTATTGTTCTTCAATCAATCTGATGTTAATAAATTTTATATTTAACAGTTGCAGCCAGACAAAGTGAAAAGGCAGATGACTGTATCTAATGGAAAGCTTTCTGTGTGAGTTCCTTATTTATCAAAAATAGTCATATAATTGTATTAATCTCTACTAAAAAAATTATCCGAAAGAAAAATATGTGAACAGTGCATAAGTTTGTGCCATTCTTTCCATTATGATTTTTTTACCTTTCCATCCTCGTATTGTACAGGCATTTTGAAGCAGTTGAAACAAGATTTCTTCGTGCATCATTTAGTGTTTTCGTGGATGTTCTTATGCTCGTCACAAAAACAATTGAAGAATTTGGTCAAGGAATGGAATTATGATTCCCTTTGTAGTACTGTTTGATTAGTGTGGCTAGTTTTTCCAGCTATTCAGCTGTAATGTAACTCTATTTAGCATTTTTCATATCAATTTTGGTTGCCCATTCTTTTTCTTTTCTTTTTTTTTTTTTTTTTTTTTTTTTCTTTTTTTACACAAAGGGTTGTACCTTAAATTTCATAACCTCTTTTAGTCATTGTTGTTGAATGGAAGAGTTGTGTTTACTTCTATATTTTTGAGAATGGATTCATTGGAAGAGTTGTGTTACTGTTGATTTTGTTGGTTTGAATGATTCTTGTAAATTACAGGTTATATTGAATGGTTTGGATGGATTATTATATATCATGCAGGTCAAATGGAATTCTTTTTATATTTTATTTCTATTTTGATAGAAAAAAAGATTTGAATTGGTGACCAAAATTTGATTTGGTTTTTCCTCTTTTGGTGACCAAGTGATTAGTCGGTGTTTCACTATTCATATTTGGCGACCAAAATGTTGGTAGGCGGAAAGGATACATTTGGCGACTAAATAATTAGTCGGTAAAATTAATAATTTTGGCAACCAAAATGATTGGTCGCGAATAGGTCTATTGTCGACTAAAGTTTTAGTCGCGCAAACATTACTTTTGGCAACTAGCATTTTTGGTCTGGGAATGTGACAATTCGTGACTATCATATTTAGTGGGAAAATATCACTTTTGGCAACTAAAGTGTTTTAGCTACAAAATGGATTAGTCGCAATAATTATATATTTAGCGACCAAAAATTTAGTCGGCAAATAGAACTTTTTCCCGACTAAAAAAATTTTTAGTTGCTAATTACTTTTCCCGACCCTCATTTGGCGACCAAGGTGGCGACCAAAAAAATTAGTCCCGGATAACTTTTGCCGACCAAAAATGGACTTTTGCCGACTAAATTTTTGGTCAGTAAAAGTGCAATTCCTGTAGTGAATGATACTTTATGGTCGTTTATCCAACTACTCTGTTGCCACCATTGTTCTGGGTCAAGGAAACCATGGTAGAGAAATACCCAAGAGAGGAGAGGGAGTCATCTCTCTATAGTTGTTGTTCTTGGTCCAGTCTTGTTGTTCTTGTTGTTCTTTCTAGTCTTGTTCTTTTTTATTATTATTATTCAATTCAACTTTAATACATACAACCATGAAAACATTTTTTTTTTATTAAATAAACAAAACAATAATATAACACTTCTTATCAAACCATAACAAATACATCCATGCTGCTACACTCCCAAAAGCAACATAACACTTCTTTTCAACAGTCCACAAATATTGTATTCACCTATGCTGCTGCACTTTCAATAGCATCAAAACTTTCTTTTCAACGGCCCACACAAACCAATGCCAACACCCACACCTGACAACACTATTCCATAGCATCAAAAAGTGTGTTGCACGCTCCATGACCAAAAAACTCTATGGCTGAAAGCTCCATGGCCGGAAAACTCCCTTGACCGAAAACTATGACCGAAACACGTCCATGGAACACTATTTTGTGCAATGAAACACTATTTTTTGTTTTTTGTTTTTTGATTTTTTTTTTGGCAGTTTGTACATCTTCCAGATTTGGTTTGTGATTGGACAATGGCAACAGGGAGAAGAGGAGGGGACAGCGGCGAGCAACCAATGGCGACAAGGACGAGAGATGACAGAGAGAGGTGAGATGAGAGAGAGAGAGAGAGAGAGAGAGAGAGAGAGAGAAGGACCAAAGAGAGGATTTTTTAGTTCAATTTGGGAGAGTGGGGATTTTTTTTTTTTATTTTACATAATTTGCAGGCGGATGCGGATTTGCGCAGGTAAGGTTGGATTGGACCCAAACCCGATTTTATATGTAAGAATAGATCTACACCTATTTATGCGTGCATGTATGATCGAATTTTTGCGTGTAGGAGCGGTTTCGACGGGCGGGCATCCTATTTATGCGTGCAAATATGATCGGATTTGTGTAGGTAGGATTGATTTTGGGGGTTATGCGGACAAAGAGAGGATTTTTTAGTTCAATTTGGGAGAGTGGGGATATTTTTTTTTATTTTAAACATAATTTGTGGGTGGATGCGGATTTGCGCAGGTAAGGTTGGATTAGACCCAAACCCGATTTTATATGTAAGAATAGATCTGCACCCGCCCTATTTATGCGTGCATGTATGATCGGATTTGTGCGGGTAGGAGCGGTTTGGACAGGCGGGCATCCTATTTATGCGTGCAAATATGATCGGATTTGTGTAGGTAGGATTGATTTTGGGGGTTATGCGGATCAAATAAAATGTTGCCTACTATTTTTTTCTAAATTAATAAACACTCAACACGCATAAATAATTTTTTTTTTATACCTTTTAACCTATAATACATTTTAACACAAAAATCTATTTAATGATTTTATAGCATTGTTACGTAACATTCATAATTTAGCATCTCTTATCTTATCTCCTAAAATCTGACAGAAAAGAGATGGGTCTCATTTTCTCAAACTCGTAGTAACACCAGACAATATCCCTAAACCACCCAACCGATAACTTCTCCTATTGTTTTTTAGCTACAACATTCGAATATGCTGTCTAACAGCTTTAATTGATGGAAGCTTTTGACAGCTTTAAGGTATTGGAAGCTTTTATAAAGCATGAAAAATTTTATTGTCAGTTAAAAAATAAATATAAAGCTTCATAAAGCATGAAAAATTTTGTTATCGGTTAAAAAATAAATAGAATGAATTTTGTTATCTTCACGTCTTTTTACCAATCAAAAGTTATTTATTGTTTTAGAAATATTATTCTACATCATTTATATTTGCACAAGTATTTAGTTATCTTCTCAAAAAAGATAAATAAATAGTAAAATTTATTGTTTCAACTAATAATATTTAAATTAAAATATCATTTAAATTTTCCATGGGAGAATGAATAATTTTTACCAACACCTATTTATTTATGAATGTTCGGTGTATCTTCCATAAATCTAACAGCTTTAGGCTTCGTTTGGGAAGTGGATTGGCTTTTTAGCTTTTTGGTTTATTTAGCTATTTTAGCCTGGGGCTAAAAAGCCTGGTTTGGAAAGGGCTTTCGGTTTTTTTGGTTTTTTTAACTTTTTTGTGAGAGAATGAATGTAATGATTATAGGTTGGATCTGATGTTTTGTCTTATTGGATTAAAAAATTTATTTTATTTTTTGTAGCTATTTTATCCAAAAAAGCTCCAAACCCATCTTCCCAAACATAGGCTTAATTGAAAAAAAGCTTTTGACAGCTTTAAGGTATTGGAAACTTTTATAAGAGTAATCATTGAGATCTACTCTTATAAGATTTTCATAAATCTGAACCATTCATGATGTAAATTCCACACATATATGAGTAGGCTCCACACATATATAAAGGGTCAGGATCACTTTTAGGGTATGGAGATCATACCCAAAGGGGATTTCAAACATTTTTCCTTTTATAAAGCATGAAAAATTTTGTTGTTAGTTTAGGAATACCTCTTCCATTTTAAAAATATTAATATCTTATTTTATTTTTTATTATTTTGAAACATTAATTTATTTTCAAAAATTAAAAAATAAAATAATATAAATTTATTATTTTATCTTTCTTTTAAATTCATTAATAGCACAAAAGTATAATTATAACAATTGATATTTTCAAAAAATATATTATCAAATGGTAATTTTGAAAATTTAATATTTTTTAAATGTAATAATTGTACCATTAAAAAAGTTAGATTTTGCAAAACAGACTATTATTTTGAGACAGAAGGAGTAAATATAATGGATTTTAATTATGTTCATATCGTTTTACCAATGAGAAATTATTCATTGCCCAGAAAATTGTTTCACACCATTCATATTTGGACAAGCAAGTTGGGACACCGTCTAGATTTGTTAATGAATAATTTTTACCAACACCTATTTAGAGTTCGTTTGGAAAGTGAGTTGACTTTTTGATTTTTTGACTTTTTAGAAGTCTCGTTTAGGATAATTTTTTGACTTTTTTATGAGAAAAAGAATGTAACAGGTTGGATGTGACATTTTTTCTTGTTAAGCAAAAAATGTCTATTTTATTTTTTTATGGCTAAAATAATCCCAAACCCTTCGACTCAAGTTCCCAAACAAAGGCTTATTTATAGATGTTCCGTGTATCTTCCGTACATCTGATAGCATTAATTGATAACATATTGGAAAGTTTTATAGAAGATTTTTTTTTTTTAAATATTGTAAAAAAAAAAACAGCAAATTAGATAATTGACTTACTTTTTAAATTATTTAAGAAACTAATCTACTTTTAAAATCGCATTTTGAAATTGCATATTCAAAATACGATTTCAAGTTGACATGGAGTCTGTTGCAATGGCGTGGTAAGTTGAAATTTCATTTTCAATATGCGATTTTAACATAAACTCGTATTTTGAAAATACGATTTTAAGTTGTTCAATTACAAAACCCATTTTAAAAATGACATTTGAAATTGAAATTCAGCAATTGCTTGGTAGATTGAAATTCCTTTCGCTTCAACATTTTTTAATATACATAGCCAAACTATTCATATTATTTTAGTACATATATATTTCTATTCATGTCAAATCATCACTTCTTATATGTGTGTGTGTTGATTTCCGACCACACTGCCAATTAAGCACTTAATTGGAGAACACTGACAGAATAGATTAAACCCGAACAACCTGTCACAGAAAGAAGAGATTTCGGCGGTGGTTCGTCCACCCGGGGGCACTCCGACGATCAAGTCAGTTATCTCCCAAAGATAGCAAATGTGCTTAACTCAATATTCAGAACATAAAAAGCATACCTTAGGCCCATGGGGGTGCCTCCCTTTTATAGCCAACACAATCCTAGTCCTAATAGAATCCTAGCTTCAATGGACTTTGGATTACTGCTAATCTTGGACTCCTAGTAGGATTGGGATAAACTCTCTAAGAGTTGTATCTTTATCCAAACTGAAGTCTTCTCTCATTTTAGGACTTTTGTCCCTTATCTGTTTATCCCGGATTCCGGTATCTTCGCAGATAACCCCGGCCTAGCCGAAATCACCTCGACGTTATGACCAGGACACGTGGCATCTTGGCTGATACTTCGGTGACACCTCGGCCATGTGTTTGTCACTCAAAA